AAGTATAGGACAAAACTGAAGGTTTGAGCAAGCTGTGGAAGGTTTGTGGAAGATTAACCTCATGAAAGGAATTTTTTTGTGATCATATTGGCTAAAATTAGAGGGAAATTTTTAGAAGTTTGTCTAAAAATTGAACATTAGTATCAAAAGCACACTGACGCAAGGCCCGGGTCTGAGCCCCTTCGTCAGAACAACAGGGTTTTCTCGGAGCACTGATCTGCTCTTTCGTAGAAAATTGTAGGAGGTTATGTGATGTTCATGGAAATCTTATCTTGTGTGGTCAAAGCTAAGACTGGATAAATTTGTTTATAAGGTTTTATTACAATTAGCCATAGTATTGATAATACACTACTATAGAAGTAAAATTTGGTTTTCTCCTTTGGACAAGGATTTTGTGTCATATCAATAAGAGAGTACAAGATTTATTTACCTTTTGAGTAAACTGCAAATCAAAGCGGCAGGAGAGTTTGCCTCATGCTTTTCTTTCTTAGGTATCTTGATGGAAACTGACGCTCTGCTCTATCAAAGAGTGACAGTTTTTGTTTTCAGGAATCTTTGAATTGTCATTTTGGCTAAATGAATGACTATTATTTAAAGTGACCTGTGATCCTATTTCGATCATGTGTTTTAAACCTTTATTATTTTAATATCATGTGTTTTAAGCTTTTCATGTTTGAAATACTTTCTAAAATTAAATTTCAAATTCTAATATTAAGTCTGTTTGATCCAAACTAACTTGGACATAACAAAGAGGAACCTCTGGGAGTCCAACAGGGACATATTAGGCTTTGTGGTGTGTTAAAATCATATGGGAAGCACTGTCAAATAAAAAATGGTGTTTAACTTTCTTTGAGTTATAATTGTACAACTGTGTTATTGATATATGCTCCAAAATTTTATTGTATTCCTAAATTCTGATGTGTCTTGGTATGTGTCATCGGTCATAATTATTATTATGTGAAATTGTGGTGTGCCACGGAAATAACCAAATTTCCCTGTCAATTGCATCTTTAACGATGGCCACTCTAAGTCTTTGGTCATCTCCAATTACTGTTTTACTCTGATTCTTCTAAAAAAGTGGTTTGCAATTGGTCACAGCCCAAAATCTGCTTCTTCAGGAGATTCACGGAAAGGACCCTGACGAGCGCTCTTGCGTCCAGGTTTCCGACAACCTTGGAGATTACACTATCGGACTAAGTAAAAACTTACAGAACTCCACTAAAGAATTGAACGTTCATGAAAACTGCTGTCCCAACATCAAGCAGAACAAGAATTACTTGAGACCAAACTGATAGAGGGCTGAAATAATTTTAATGATGTTTTCTGTTTGAAACCTTGCCAATTCTATTTCTTTTGTTTACCAGAGTCAAGAAAACTTTTGAGCTATTTAGCTATTTCTAGCTTACAGCAATTGGGGAGGGTATACTTTCGTGAATAAGACTAAAACAGTTACCTTTCTCTCTACTTGATTTCTCCAAAATTTGTAAACTATTCATGAGTGTTTTTATTTACGGCAATACAGTTATTTCCGTAAGGTCAACCAGCATCCGTTTTCTTTTATAACAGGACACAACTGGAGATGCTGGTCACTCCGCCACGGCTTGGACTGGAGTGGCCCGTTTCCAGGTACGGCCAGACTGTTCTGAGGAACTGAAGTTGACCTTATAGAGCTGATAAAAAGCCCCTTGGAAAGACTGACCTTGAACCTTGTCTGCGTGGTTCCCTTACAAGGTTCCCTTCAGACAGGCTCAGGCACCTCAGGATATTTGGGGACCTCGAGAAGAGAGGAATTTACCCGCTTCGTACGGGTATTACAGGCCCAGTTTGTTGGTGACTCCATGGCTTACCTATCCTTCAGGCTTTTAAAAGTCTAATCCAGAATTTCTCATAAAGTTCCAGCAAAGCGCCCACGTGGACACTCAGTATTCTTGTTGCACTTTATGCAAATAATCAGGCCAAGTATAATACCAAAACTTATTTTGCAAGTAAATTGGTCCTACTAACTTTTATCTTTGATAGAAATGGGGAACTAGAGAGAGAAAAATTATGTTTCAGAAGAAAACTACAGCACACCTGTTATTAGATTCTAGCCCTGACCACTGTTTTTGAGTTTTTATTATTTTCCTACAATTTGGGCAAAATCCCGAAATAGTTCCTAGCTACAAGTCTCTACAGAAGGACCGGCTTTTAATTTTCTTCATGATGTTTTAGTCAACTCCCCAATGGGACAGGTTCCCCGCCACCCCATTCTGGAATACAAATTCCTCTTTTTGATTATAATACTTGTGTGCATTACATTTCTATCGCGTATCTCGTTGTTTTACTTCTGAGAAAACTAAACGCGTGGTATTCCAGAGACTACAGATAATTCAACAAGTGACAGCAGCTGTATAAATCTCGTAAGTCTCATTCTTGCCGCCGTGCGATGCCAGCCCAGTTCAGCTTTCGGTGCTCTTAGAACGCTTCACTGAGACGCATCCTCTCCCCACACCACCACGGGGGACAGGACCGTCGGAACGAGCCTTCCTAGCAACGCAAGACTGAGCTCCTGAACACACAAGGGGTCGAAACCATTTGAGTTCATCTACAATGCTCTCCTAGACGTATCTGGATGGAAAGGCAGGGATGAGAAAAACAAAGTAACTCCAAGCAGGCTGAGGCGTCACGTGAGGAACGCAAAACGCATCGGCCCGGAGAGACACGCGTGTGGGACGTAAGTCACACCCCCACATCACGTCTGGGGGCAAATGTGCTCCTGCCTGGCTGCCTCACTGGGATTTGTGACATGAAGAACAACGCATAGCCACTCAGTAGCTTACGTTATTTTAACGTAAATTCTTGGGAACGACTCAGGAACTGCCTCCTCTTTTCTCCTTAGAAGCCCACTTCCATCCTCAAGCTTTGAGCTTGAATCAACTTTATACTTTATCGTGTTGTCTAATCTTGTTATTTAAGGTGGACATCAGCAACACCCCACTTCCCGGTACCAATTTTCTGGTTTAGTCCCTTTTCTGTTTCTGATCACAGACAGCCTGCAAGTGGCTAACTTACTGATATAAACAAAGGGAATCTCTCATTGTTACGGAGGATGAGAGGGCCGGGGTCAGGGGGTGGCCTGCTGGTGCTGGCTCTCTGCAGAGTCCGGGCTGGCTCAGGGCGTCTCCTGGAGAGGGCCTGAGCGTGCTAACGCCCTCAGGGCTCCTCCTCTTCCTAGAAAGCCACCAGTTCTACTCCCACGATAGCCCACTGGTCCCTTCATCCGTTGCTCCAAACACCTCTTCAAGGCCCCACCTTCCAACACCGCCACGTTGGGGATTACGTTTCAGACACGCGAAACATGGGGGACACATTAAAAACCACAGGACACAGGCTGGGTGCAAGAGTTTCCACTCAGGCTTGGTGGTGACGGGCCCCAGGGCCCCTCCGCCTTGGAAGCACCCTTACCTTTGCGTCCGTAGAAGAAGTTGCTAACCAAAGCCAGGATGGACAGTGTGATGAGGTCTCCCAGGCTGGCTGCCACGGGTGTGGCGATGTTGTCTGGGTTGACCCCGAGCTTTCGAGTGCCAATCACGATACAGACCGTCAACGTTCCTGTGGAGAGAGAGGACAGAGAGAAGACTCAAGTCCCAAGGAGCCGACGGCCCTGGGAAGGCGCAGGGTGTCTGGCACTGAGACGGGGCTGGCAGGTGGCTGGCAGGCTGCGCATTAACTTGCCCCTGTCCACACAAGCCTAGATATGGAGCCAGGCTGCCCCAACTCTCCGAGTTTCTCCTACTACACTGGAGACCTGAGAAGGCCGGAAGAACTGGACCCCTTTGTGACTTGTGGGCAGGGTGCTGAGGAGCGGCTCCCAAATCAC